GAGGCAGCTGATCGATGTTTCTCTCTCATTGATGTTTCTAACTCTCTATCCCTCTCCCTTCCTCTCTGTAAAAGATCAATAAAGCCAGAACCGGTTTGGCTCAGTGGATAGAGCGTCGGCCTGTGGACTCAAGGGTCCCGGGTTCGACTCTGGTCGGGGGCATGTGCCTTGGTTGCGGGCACATCCCCAGGGGGGGCGTGCAGGAGGCAGCTGATCGATGTTTCTCTCTCATCGATGTTTCTGGCTCTCTGTCCCTCTCCCTTCCTCTCTGTAAAAAATCAATAAAATATATTTTTAAAAAATCAATAAAATATGTTTTTAAAAAAGAAAAAGTATAAGCTAACGTAACAAGTAGGATTACGTATCAATGAAATTGGAGTTATATACCATATTTCTCTCTACAATGACAGAATTTTCTCCTTATTTATTCTTTAGGTCTGTAACTAAGTATATATATTTTAGTCACATTAGTTCATCACAACCTGTTTCTTTTTCACTAATATTGTTCTATGTATACTTTTTAAGATTAGGCTCATTTTTTAAATAAGCACTGTTTTGGGACAATATTCTCTGTGATTAAGAAGTTATCAATTTAAGAAAATAATTGTCTACATAAGAACTTTCAAATCTTTTCATATAAATAGGTCAGTAGTGGGATGATAGCCTTTCAGTGCACAAATTAGTAAGTAGGCCTTCTTTTGAAAATGAGGCAATAATGAGAAACTGTGACCTCAATACTGGGTAACATAATGTAAAAATTGGATGGACTTCATAATACACCAGGGAATAAGTATTTTAAAACAGCATCCTTTTTTGGTTTTTGAGATTTGTAAACCCGTTTGTTATAAAAGTTGACCTAGTAACAGCTTTTGCTGTGTGAATGTACTTCCTTATTAGAAGCAATTCATGGAAGAATCATAAGCCAAATGTTATATGAGGTTTGGAGAAAGTTTAACCTTGTTTAAGACATTAGGGGTTTGTTTTTAGCATTCTGTGGACATTGCTTGAAGACAGTTTAATTTCTTAATAGTAGACTTTAGGAGTAACCAGTTGCAGTATCTCTTTTGAAGACTTTTCATTATTTTCCGTGGTTGGCAAACTGCGGCTCGGAAGCTACATGCGGCTCTTTAGCCCCTTGAGTGTGGCTCTTCCTAAGCCTTAGGAGTACCTTAATTAAGTTAATAACAACGTACCTACCTATTAGTTTAAGT